CGCCCGCCCCGGGATCAGAGTGGCGCGCGCCACTCTCTCAACAGAAGCAGCGACGTCCAATCGCCACGACGCAGGAGCACGTTGTCGGCACATGCGCCGAGATCTCATGCTAGGGGGAACGATCGGGCCCCTGATGCGCGAAGACATGTCCCCAGTGGGCTGTCAGGGCAGCGGCCGACAAATCCGGGGGCGGGCAGACGCGGCCGTCGGGGCCCAGGAGTCCAGCGACCCCACGCCGCATGCGCATCCTGGCCCAAGCCCACCGCGCATGTTGGATCCGCGCCGCCCTCTCGCTCTCGGCCTTGCCCCCATCGCCCCCCTCGCCCAAGCCCTGCCCCTCTCTCTCGCGCCAGGCGTCTTTTCGGCGCCTGGGCCAGCGCCCCTGGGCCAGCAACATTCAGACAACGCCCCCTTCCAGGCTCAAAGAGGCGGAGCAACTGGGGGTAGGCCCTCGCGGCCGCGACGGGATGCGGGAAGGTCCCCCTGCGCCGTCCTCTATGCGCCATCAGAGGTAAGCGCAACCTCTCACGCGGTGACTCTGGGGGCCGAAGACGCAGGCGAGACTTGGATTTCGGCGCCATCTGCCAGGAGATCTAATTGGCCCGAGGGAGTCTACCCCGAGGAGACAACCTCCTATCGTTATCCAGGATTCGCACTACAGCGGGGTCCACGGCGCAGCTCATGCTGAGCAATTCCATTGAGGATCTGGGCGGGCGCAGCAGCGGCGATCCTGGTCGAGATGGCGGCGACAACAAAGGCGCGGTCAGAGGGCGCCTATGTCTCAACGGCATGCCCGGCGTCGTTGACTGCGACCGCGCGATCATTCAGAACGGGGGCGGAGAGAAAGGTGCATATGCAATCAAGACGAGCCGCGCCGCGCAATGTGCCTGCGAAAACGCCCCTCGCGGTCTGATCGGGTTGGTGCAACTCTGCCCAGGGCCCGCAGTCCGACGCGGACACATCCCTTTGCTGCCGATTTCAAGTTTACCGCGCCCCATCCGTCCTAGACCTGCCCTCCTCAACCTCCATAAAAGCCCAGACCCTGCCATGACGCACAATGCCTGAGCAGCAGATGGGGGCATGGCCTGGATCAGACCTAGGCACCTGCGATACATGCCGACGGGGTCCGAGGTGGTGGGCACGTGAACATTCGGAACCATGACATCCCCGCCCCCCTCCTTCAGGTGCGATGCGAGGAGCCGCCCTAGGACAACCATATGCGAAATGCACGGTTCGAGCTGCGCCATCAGCTCACTGGGCAGCGCCGGGGCAACGCCCCTGCAAGCAGATGGGTCAGTCAAATAATCATGTACCACTGCGATCCGAAATATCTCGCAGTCAGCGCGCACGCCGTGCGTCTCGTGTCAACACACAACATCAAACTTGCCGACGAGCTGAAGCCTCCGCACATGCCACGTGCCCGCTTGCGGTGAGGGCGCAGCACAAGAACAGAAGAGGGCGCAGGCATTCCAAGTGCAAACAGAGATAGAGAGAGAGAGAGAGAACAACAAGAGAGAGAGAGAGGCGAGCTGGGAGAGAATTCCCCATTCGCTCTCGAGGCAGGGTCACCAGGAGTGAACCCACCTCTCGGATTCAGATCAAAATTACGGTTGGCTGACTGAGCCCCACTCTGGCTAACGAGGGGCACGCAAGTCCTGAACCCCGCCCTAGACGGCCCCCCGCCCGAAGGAGGACCAGAACCCAGAGGAAAGTGCAAGAACTGGCCAGACGGGGCGCCCGAGGTCCCCGGGCAAGATGCCCCAGGACAGCTTGGCCCATCACACAAAAAGGCGAATCTGATCAAAGAGCGTCTGGGCGCAGCCCGCATGGGCCTCCTCACCAAAGCTACTCAGGCCGCTAGGGTCAAGCAGAAGACAGGGCGCACCATTCTCAGAGATCGTGAATTTCGCCACCACAAATAAGCACACAAGGGATAGAAATCCATAGGTCTGCCTTCCAAGACCTTTGCTCCCGACCGTGAACTCTCCTAAGATTTTGCCGATGCTAGTCCTGGTCAGTCCATCAACGATACCTCGGGGAGTGATTTGTAAAGCCCGAGCACGATGAGAAGAGTGGCGCTGACTCGGTCTGACCCTGACGCATTCAGAATCTTCCGGCGATCCACACCGTTTCTTGCTCCCACTATCTCGAACTCCGAATCGGCACGAGTCGATGGGCCTGGCGATGGCACCGGCCTAAGGTCATTTAGCTTGGACGTGATGTCTTCAAACACGGACACGAGCTTAGCATCTGTGTCGATCGCTACCTGTTGGATAGCCTGGTCCTGGACGCGCTTGATCTCAGCGAACCGTTCCTCCTGACGCGCTGCTGGTCGAAGTCCGAACCGATGGTTGACAGTTGGATCCTGGAGAATTCAAACACCGGTGTGTGCCTGGTGAATTCCTGACGAACGAGATCCTGGAGGCTCGATATCTGGGACGTGATCAAAGGAGGAGGAGGAGGACGACGACGACGAGCAGGAGGAGGAGGAGGAGGAGGAGGAAAAGAAGAAGAAGAAGGAGAAGAAGAAGAAGAAGAATAATAAGAATAATACGAAAACTAATAAGATGAAAAAGAAGAAGAAGAAGAAGGGGAAGAGGAGAAGGAGGAGGAGGAGGAGGAGAAGGAGGAACAGGAAGAGGAGGAGGAGGAGGAGGCTGCTGCTATGGGTCACAGCCCATGGCCGCACTGGGAAACGGAATCAGAGTAGGAGAAGGAGGAGGAGGAGGAGGAGGAGGAGGAGGAGGTCGAAAGGTACCAGAAGAAACCAAATATACATAAACAACGCATGCTGCAACACGCCCTCGCCCCCCAAGTCCCCTCTCCATGAGGGCCTACAGGCATTCATTTGATTTCGGAAAGCCCCAACTTCAAAGACGAACGCTCCAAAGGCATCTCGTTCAGGCGTGGCGCGCCGGAGACGCTGGAGGGCGTCCAGCTTGGAGGCGGCCAGTGGGTCTGACTTGGTTGGGCCCCAGGAAAACCCAGAGATCCTGGCGTTGCAATTTTTCACAACGGGCTTATTCGCTCAATCTCGGGCCCCGGGACCCTCACAGACCGATCCGGCTTGCAAAATGACGCAGACAGATGGATATTGGGGCTCCGATGGTGATGATATGCGATGTCGCAACTTTCTGGCAACGTTGGATCTCAGGGAACGAATCACGACGGGGGAGAGCAGGACAAATCGAAAGGTGCGCCGCTGGATCACCCGATGGCGCCCCCACCCCTTTCCCCGATCCTGCGTTGGCGGACCCCCCCTCCCCCCCCCTCGCGCTCCATCGTCGGCGGGCCCCGCCTTTCCCGATCCGTCGCCGGCGGACCCCCCCCCCACCCCACTTTTCAAAGGTGGGGGGAGGTCCGACCCCCCCCCCTCCCCCCCTTGCGCCACGCCGCCCCCTGGCTCTGTAACCCGATCGCTACAACACCTGACCCTCACCCGAATCCCTGCCCTAACCCCTAACCCCTAACCCACCCCCCCCACTCCTAACCCTAACCCCTACCCTGGGCCTAACCTTAGCTTCTACCCAAACCCCTACTCTAACCCCTAATTCAAACCCTAATCCCCACCCTAACCCCTACCCTGAGCCCCCTAACCCTAACCCCTACTCGAACCCTAACCCCTACCCTAACCCCTGATCCTAACCCTGACCCCTAACCCCTAACCCCAACCCTAACCCCTACCCCTAACCCGAACCCTACCCCTTACCCCTAACCCTGGCCCCTAATCCTACCCCCAATCCCTGACCCGAACCCTACGACCTAACCCTAACCCCTAACCCTACTCTAACCCCTACCCCAACCCCTGACCTGAACCCCTGGCCCCTAACCGTAACCCTAATCCCTGACCCTAACCCTTAGCCCTAACCCTAACCCCTAAACACTACCCTAACCCCTACCCTAACCCTAACCTCTACCCTAACCACCACCTTAACCGCAGCCTCCAGCGCTCCGGAGCGGAGAGAGCCTCCCCACATGCCCCCCCCCCCTTGCCTGGCCAAAGGGGGGGAGGGAGGGGGGTGTCCGACATCGCCCCCCCCCCCCCCGTCTTTAGCGCCAACGGGGGGGGGGGGGTCCGAAAATGCCTCCCCCTAGAGGGGGGAGGGGGGGGAGGGGCTCTGGGAGCACTCCCCCCCTTCTCAATTACGAGGTGATCCAATGGCGCTCTTTCGGACAAATCCGTTCCAACACGGTCCCTGGACCCCGCCCAGGGTGGAATTTTCCACCCCGGAGCAGCCGTTTCTGATGAGGCCGATAAGACGGCCCCCGTGGCCCCCGTCGAACCCAGCACCTCGAACCCGCCCCCCCCTTCCTGCTGGCCGGGGCCAGTGCTGCGCGGCGCAGGTCTCAGGGCGCGGGGGGTATGGTCGAAAGAAAGGGCCGAGCGAATCCGCTCCCGCAACTGGCCAACACGGCGCCCGAGGCATCGAGGAGAGCGCCCGCCGGCAGAGCGGAAACGAGCTGCACGCAAAAAAAATCGTCGCTCCCTCCCCTTTCTGTCTAATCTTAGGTCGGGCCTGTCCCCGTACAGGAGAGTTTTGAGCGAAAGAAAATGTTCAACAAATATTCCAACATAGTCCAGAATAATCAAAAAATAGTCCCCAAACTATGTTTTGACTATTTTTGAATATCCCCCCACTTAAGTCAATTACCCGCTTTCGTCCGACCTGAGCCGGGAACGGCGAGAAGGCCTGTTTCAAAAAGGGTGCTCTCGACTGCTGCTGGGGCGCCTCGGGTCGAGAAGTGGGGCCTCAGACTGGACTGGGGGGGCCTCAGGTCTCGCGACACCAACCTCGCCCGACGAACCGTTCTGGCGGCCTCCGATGGGCTCAGGGGGGCCCCACGGATGGTCCCCCCCCCCCGCACGCCCAGCAGAACCCACGGTCCCGGCCTCGGGCCGTGCCATCGCCGTCCACCCCCCGCCTCCTCATCCCTCCTCCCCTCCTTCTCCTCCCCCCTCCCCCCCTGCCAACCCTGCCACTGGCGAAACAGCGCCAGGGGGCGACTTGACGAGCCGCAGGGCCGGAGACCGGCCCCGCCCACAGCGTCCAGCAACACGGGCCTTTGCCTCCCGCCCCCGCGGGCCCATCGTCTCCGAACATCGCGACGCGCGCTGACCTCACGACGGCTGCTCCAAGCGAAGGCCTATAGCAGCGCTTGGGAGCTCCAGGTCGTCGGCGACCGCGCCGCGCGCCGGCCTCGCGCCGGGGCTACTTCAGCGAAGGCCCGGCAGCCCAGAGGAGCTGTGGGCGGCCGCCGTCGCTGCCGGCACTGCCGACCAGGAGCAGGCCCCCGCTCACGTCCTCGCACACGCCGGCCACGCGGAGCCCGCCGCCGGCCGCGAGCTCCTCCGGCAGCTCGGGCCGCAGGTGGGCCACCCTGCGGGGCCGCCCGCCCCGCAAGTCCCAGGCGATCAGGTCGCCGCCGCCGGTCAGCGCCCACGCACGCGCCGCCCCCGCGCCCAGGTGCAGCGCGAGCACCTCCGCCGCGCCCCCGCGGCTCGCGGGCGCGGCGCCGAGCGCTAGCTCGAGCAGGATCCGCAGCGGCGGCCCACCCTCCGGCAGGCCCGGCCGCCCGGCGGCGCTGGCTGGGAGCGGGGCCGCCACCAGCTGGGCTGGGCCGCTGGGCGCCCAGCCCAGCAGCACGAGGCAGAGCGCCTCCTCTGCGGGGCCCAAAAAAAGCACACAGACCCCACCACCACCTCCCTTACCCCCCTCTCACAGGGAGGAGCAGAGGAAGGGGAGGGAAGGGGAGGGGAGTGGAATGGAGGTGGTGCCATGGTGGTGTGTATTCTTGGGGCCCGCCTCGTCCACGCCCGCGGGCAGCGGCGCGGGGAGCCAGGGGGCCGAGCTGCAGGGCACCACGGCGCCCGCCAGGTGCCTCCAGCCTGCGCCCGCGCCGGCGCCCGCCACCGGCAGCAGCACGGCCTCGGGCGCGGCACCCGCGGCGGCCGCCGCCTCCACGAGCACGCCGCCCGGCGCCAGCGAGCCCGCCAGGCAGGCCGAGCCCGCCGCCGCGCCGCTGCCCAGCGGGCACAGGGGCACGCGGCCCGCGGGAGGCGTGCCGCCGCGGAGCTCCTCCAGACGCAGCGCCTGGCCGCGCGAGCCGAGGAGGCCGTACCAGGCGAAGGGGCTGCCGACGAGCGCGGCCGCACCCGGGGGGCAGTGGACGCGATCCGGGCGGAACAGGGGCCCGTGGGGCCACTCTACGTCCTGGAGCTCCAACGGCCAGGCCTGCGGGCGGGCCGCCCGGCCCCCCAGGGGCCCCGCCGCGAGCAGGCGCCGCTCGTGGTGCCGCTCGGTGCTCTTCAGCGTCGTCCCGAGGGCGCGGAAGGACGGGTCCTCCGTCAGCCCGGTCTCCTCCATGGCAGCCTGGACGCCGACCAAGAACCAGATCAGCTGGATGGCCCGGGTGAGCGCGCGCACGATCCGCCACGGGAGCTTCACGGCGTGTATCTTGACCTCCGTGAAGACCTCCTCGCTGCGATATGCCGGCTTCTGCTCTGGAGATCTGGAGCGGCTGCCGCTCGCGACATCGTCCCCCTCGCGCTCACTGTCCGAGTCGGCGTCCGAGTTCGATCCCGCCTCGTCGCGGGACACGCCCCGCTTGTCGTACCTGACGCCGTAGAGGTCACGCAGCTGCTTCGTCTGCATCCGGAGGACTGTGATGTCCTCCTCGAGCTCCCCGAGCGTCAGGAGCTTGCAGCCCTGGGGGACCTCGTTGACGAACTTCCGCTTCTCCACCCGGTAGTAATACAGCTGGCCGCCGCGCCGCTCGAAGGGGCCGACCACCGCTGCGAGGCCGGCGCCCTCTCCGTCGTCGTCGCTCCTCGCGGGGAGCTTGTGGCGGGCCTTCACGTGCCTCAGCTCGGCGGACCAGTGCTTGAAGTCCGCCTTCGCCTTCGTCAGCGTCTTCCTCTGCAGGTCCGTCAGGTCGGCATCGGCCTCGCCCGCCGCGATCCAGCGCCACAGTGCGGCCTGCGCCGCCTTGCACGCGGCGTCGGCCTCCTCGGCAGCGTCCCTGGCCCGTCTCTCCGCCGGGCCGTGGAGCAGCTTTTCCCCCGTGTGGTAGTTGATCTCGGTGGGGTCGTCCACATCCCCGAACACGTCCATGAAGAGGACAGTCCGGAAGTGTCGAGGCAACGACGCCTCGTCCTTTGACGGGGAGGCCACCCAAAGCAACAGCTGAAACCAGATGATCTCCAAGCCTAAAGATCCCACGGACATCATGTAACGGTTGTTAGGGTCAAGAACGCAGGAGTCCTCGCCAACATGTGTGCAATCCCCCTCCGTGCGGCCTGACAGGACAAAAGACAAGCACGTGAGGAACGCTGGCAGGCTGCCGATGACCTGTAAGTCGAAATTCCCCCAGCAAGGCAAACCGTGTATGTCCAATACGGAGAGTGTCGTTGCAACCGACTGTATAGTTATCGTCAGCACCAACGCGGCCATGGGCTCGCAATTATCCACCATCGTAAAGCCAATGACGAAATAATTGACAGCCTGGAGCATCTGCCGCACCCCAAGTGCCATGCTCACGCGCGCGTACGCATCGTAACACTGCCACTGTGCCTGCAACTGCCTAAAAAGCTGCACATGGCGATACGTACTGAGCTCCACGGCCTTAAGAAGCTCGGCTTCATCAGTCAAACCTTTCTCCCCCGCATCCAGGTCGATGTTCTCGTGCAGCTGAAGCTTCGAGCACGCTGGGCACAGTGTGTAGTCACATGGCTGACAGCGAAACCACCCGTCCAGCGAGCTGCGTGCTTCCTTGTGGCACTTGGTGCATGCCCAGGCTGCCTTTGCCTTCGACGACGGCGGCAGCACCACCATCTCATGCCCCAAAGTGCACTGCGGCGGTGTCGAGACCTGGACGCCGCCGAGGCCCCGGGACGCGGCGAGGGTGTCCTCGGCGCGGTCGGTCTCCAGCTGGTCGTTTCTGCCGCGCTGCTTCCAGTCGTTTGCCGTCCTCTGCAAGAAAGGCACCCGCATCATCGTGGCACCCTGCCGCTCGAAGTCGGCCATGCGCGCGTTCAGGGTGTTCAGCTGCTGGCTTCCGGGTATTGGCAGCCTCACGAAGCGCGTGAGCAGTCGCACCCCGTAGCTGGTGCAGGCGATGGAGGCATGCATGGCCATCCAGATCGCAAGGAGGAGGTAGAAGGCGGCGGACGCATTGGAGACATAGTAGAGGCTGGTGAGGGTCTTCGGCGGATGCGGACTCTCGAAGGTTCCTTTTGCATAATACAGGACGACCCCTTTCAGAAACAGGGCACCGACTAAGTGGTACAAGTCCATCTTGCCCACCGTCAACTCCACGAGATCACGGATGTCCTCTCGGAACAGGGAGAAGCGTTCCACCTGCATCTTTAGGCGAAGCTCCTCGCGCTCGAACCGCTGATCCTGATCGAACTCGAAGTTCTCTCGATTGTACCGGAAGATCTCCGTGCCCATCATGCCAAGGGCCGCGAGGACCTCCACGCCCGCCATGGCACACAAAGGGCGTGCAGCGCCAGTGCAGCGATCAGCTTCCGAATGCTTGCGGCAACCTGCGCAAAAGGATGCGGTGGTGGCCGAGCTATCAAGCCGTCCGCGGCTCGACTCGTGCTGCCCGTCCAGCGTCTGGCTAGAAGGGCGCCTGAGCCAAAATGAGCACGGAGGACGATGAGGGGGGAGGCAAAGAGGACGACCTGAAGGAGCACAAGCAGCAGGACGACGACAAGAAGGGATGATGAGGGATGAAAAGGGGACATGATGGTGAGCACGAAAAACTCACTCCAATAACGATGGCCAACATAGGCGACGGCAACTGGCATTTCCAGCACCAAGCGACACTCCCATTATACAGATTGGAGACACACAACCCCTTTCCTTGAAAGGCGAATCGCGAAAAGCATCCGCAACGATATCCCACGGGCAAGCCTGACCCCCACAAAGAGATGGCACGCATGAACCGCGTGCTGCGTACACAGGCATGGGTCGCAGTCACTGTCAACGATCCTTTCGGTATACGGGTGACTCGCGAAGCTTCGGAAGGGGTGGGTGATGAGGCATGCGACCGTGCCGTGGCAGCTTGCGACGACCCCCCTGTCTATGCCACATACGTAACGAGCCCTCTGAACACATCCTGGTGTACCACGTCGCCGCACGACATCGCCAACAACGACCGCGACGGCTGCCGACCGCACCCTTCGCTTGCACCGCAGCGCCATTCGCCCAGCCACAGGCAGAAGGGAGACCACCCCCAGCAGAACAGCGGCGTGCCCGCCGCCTCTCGGCAGGCGTGGGCCTCGCCTCCCGGCCCCGCTCCCCGTCCGCTGCCCGATGCCAGTGAAGGGGCCCTGGGACACACAAATAAATACACACACAAATAAAAGGATTCCCCATACTTCCCTATATTTGGGGGGTTTTCGTCTTCCCCCCCACTTCCCATACTTTCCCATGTTTTCTGGGGGATCGGGGATTCATTGTGTCTGTGTGTTTTTTTTCCCCTCCTGAGCCAGACCGTCCTGCACCCGGTCCCCACGCTCCGCCGTGCGGCCTGCGTCCTCCGCCTCCCGCCCCTCCTCGGCGGCGGGAGAGGGGGGGAAATGAGAAAGAGGAGGCCCTCTGAGAAGGCGGCGGGACTTCTCAGAAGCCCACGCGCCTTCTGAGAGGCTTTTGCTCAGGGTTCGGGGAGGGCGCAGAAGACTTCTCGGAAGGCCGGGGGACTTCCGAGCCTTCTGAGAAGACCTTGTCCTTCTCGCTTCCCCCCCTCGCTCGCGGCCGACTTCTCCCTCCGCCCCCCGCCCTCTGCCTTCTGCGTGCCGCACCCATCGGCACTCCAGCGACGCGCAGCACCGCGCAGGGAGGACAGGGAACAGGGAAGCGCCACGCCAGCCAGCAGAGCGGCCCGAACAGGAAAACTCGCCGCGACACGGAACGACCACGACGCGATACGACCGCGACACAACCGCGACACGACACGGCCTCGAGGGCAGCTGCACCACTGCGAGCACGACACGGCCACGAGAGCAGCCCACACGAAACGAGACGGCCACGACGGCTGCCACCACCACAATCACCACGACCAAGAAATGCACAACGCCATAAGACCCGGGGGTGAACCTAAACGGTGCTGTTCGTTTCCGTTTTGTTTTCGTGCTCCCCCGTTTTGTCTTCAGTCCGCCTTTTCCGCAAAACGGAGACGAAACGAAAACGGCCCACGAAATCGCAAAAGCACAGTTTAGGTCAACCCCTGAAAAGACCATGACGTCGGAGGGCTCGATGACAATGTCAATACGCGCAGCCACGGCAAGCCCCAGCCGCGACGGCCACGCGAACGGCGATCGCAACGACTGCAGCGACCACGACGCCGACCACCACGACGCCTACGACGACCGCAACGACAACCACCGCGACGGCCTCTACGACTTTGAAAATCTCGGAGACCACGACTCACTGCGGCGACCACGTCCGCGGTGACAATGACGACTGCGACGCCCACGACCGCGCTGTCCTCCAAGAACGCAGTAGCCGTGACGACCACATCCACGTGACCTTCGACCTCGACGACCACGACGACGAGCGCCCCACCTCGTCGCTGGGAATGCGGATATGTGCAGCGTTGCTGCTACTGGCGACTCCCATCTACAAACGATTTCGGTGATCAGTCAATTGTCTTGAATTGTCAGGCGTGGCGAGCGTGCTGGTCGCTGTACACAGGCCGCACAGCGGAGGCACACTATCTATACGTTGCTTCGCAGCGAGGCCAGCGAGCCAATTGAGCGGTCAATGCGCCACCATGTCCTCCCGCGCGTTGTAAAGTCAAAGCGTTGTCGCGCCATCATCCAAATATTCCAGGCTGGCGCATTCCTGATACGCTTGATTTGGGAAATCGGATCTGAACACACGCATGCGCCACCCAGTACATGGCGACATAGAGCGCTCCTCCCTGATCACCCTCCTCCTTTCTCACCCTCCTCCTTTCCCCCCGTCCCCCCTGCTCCTCCGCCTCCTCCTCACCCCTCCTGGTCACGCGACCCGACGAAGTCTCGAGATGGTAAACCTCCATGTGCCTCGGGCGTGTTGGCCATGCGGCTCGTTTTGCTGCTGGGGGCGCGCGCAGAGGCCTCCACCCGTCTCTTGGTGAGCCCGTGCATGCCGAACCCCGCAGAGGACTCTTTTCTTAATTCGCGGGTCGAGAGCGCACCTCTTCCGGTCGAAGCTAAGCGGGCCGCGCGAAGCTTGAATTAACCAGAGATGGGGGAGGAAAAGGGGGGCGCAGCCTCAGAACGAGGCCGGGAGGAGGCGACCCCGCAGAGGACACTCCGGGGTAAGTCGGGCAATTGACCCAGACATGCGGGTGATTTGGTGCAGGCGACGCAGAGGCGCCGCCACGACTGCATGCGGCCGGATGCTCCAGGGCCCCTGTCGCCCCAAGCGCAAGCGTGAAGGCTGTCGGGCGGGGCCATGTTGCGCGCGCCCCTGCCAGGCGGGAGACCCTGCCGCGTGAGACCTCCCCTGGCGGGACCCCATCGGACGGGACCGTGCCGGGTGCGACCCCGCATCGTGATTTGAGCAGGGACTGACCGTCCCGGTATTCCTATAGTCCTACCACGAAATGCTCCTAGAACCCAAATATGTTCTAAGAACAAAAACAATGCTTTTAGAACATAAACCCGATGTGTAAAAACAAGACAGACTCCGCCAGAAATGTTCTAAGAGCATTTCGTGGGAACCACAAAAGGTTCTTAGAACATTGTGTGGTAGGGCCATAGGCGAGCCAGGACGCTTCGCCGCTGCTTGAGTGACAGGAGCCTGTCGGGCAAGACCCCAGCGGACGAGACACCAGCGGGCTCGACCCCTTCGGCGGGGGGCCCTGCCTGGCAGGACCTGGCCCCTGTGGGGAGCCTCTTGGGGGGGGGGGGGGGGGCAGCCGAGAGGGGGGGCCGCAGCGCCAGGAGCCACCCGAGCAGCCGCGAGGAGCACAAACGGGCTGCCCGCCGCAAAGGGACCGTTCCACGGGGACCCAAAGGAGAGGAGAGGTAGGAGAAGGAGGTGGAGGAGGAGAAGGAGGGGAGGGGAGGAAGGAGGAGTGGGAGGAGGGGGAGGAGGAGGAGGAGGAGGAGGATGAGGAGGAGAAGGAGGGGGGGAGGGAGGAGGAGGAGGAGGAGAGGGAGGAGAGAGGGAGGAGGGGGAGGAGAGGAGGACGAGAGAAAGGAAGGAGGAGGAGGAGGAGAGAGAAGGAGGGGAGGAGGAGGGAGGGGAGGAGGAGGAGGCGGGGTGCGGGCCCGCGGAGCCCGCGAGGCGCCCTCGAGGGGCGGGCACGGGGCTCCGCGGCCCGTGCAGAGGGGGGAGGGGCAGGGCCACGAAGCACACCGTCGTCTTGCCGTCGCTCGGACGTCCATTCTTCGTGCATTTTTCGGTTTCGTGCGTGCTTTTTTGGCTCGATGGTCAAGGATGCTGCTCGATGGCCGTCGCCGTGAAAAAATGCACACGTCCGAGCGATGCCAAGTCGTGGGCGGGGCCGGGGCACCGTCTCGGCCTGCCTCGCTCGCTCGGCTCGCCTTCCCGGCGCGCGAGTGGCGTCGACGGGGCGCTTCGGAGGTGCGAGGGCCTCGGTCGGGTGGCCGTCACCGCGGCGCTCCGAGAACCCTCCAGAGGGGTGGGAGGGGGGGGGGGGGGGGGGGGGGGGGGGGGGGGTGGGGGGGGGGGGGGGGGGGCGAATTTCCATTTCCCAAACATTTTTTTTTGTGCAGGTGCGGCGGTTCTTTCGCGCCCTGCGCTCAGTCACGTGCAGGCGCCAGACCCCGCGGGCACATCTAGACAGTGGCGCAGAGGCAGGCAGATGATTAGATGCCGAGCGAGGACGCTCACAGCCAAAGTCCCGCTACAAGGAATATTGAATATGGAGTGGGGCCTATGTTCCCTAGCAGCTGGGTTTAGTTTTTTGGGGCTTAGGAACCTGGCAAAACCTGAGAAGCAGGCAGTCTTGCTCGGATGGCCCCCGAGCCCGAAAGCCAGCCGTCGAACGCCGAGATCGTGCAGAGACGCCCGTCGACTCTTTGCCGCGTCGCCCAAAAGCCATTGTGTGTGTGTTCGGCGCCCGGTTGCATCTTATCCTCGCGCATATTGGTTCGACTCGTCCCGGACTCGGTCGGGGTGTGCCTGCACTCCTCTCCTCGCCGATGCATCGGAAAATGCGCGTCCCTGGTCGGGGTGGGGGGGCGAGTGGGGGTCGGTGTCCCCCCTCAGCCCCCTGATCCACCCCCACCCCCGTGTCGCTGCCCCAGGACATGCCACGAACGATGAGAAACCGGCTGTCGCGATTCTTTCGTCCCTCTCCTCCGACGTCGCGTCTCTGCGACCTGAGGCCCTCGATCCCCTGCCCCGGAGTCATCTCTTCCCCAATCATCAAGGGGCCAAGGACATACAAATAAATACCCACAAATAACAGGATCCCCCATATGTTCCCATATTTTCTGGGTTTGTGCCTTCCCCCCCACTTCCCATATTTCCCCATATTTTCTGGGGAATCGACGATTAACTGCGTCTGTGTGTTTTTTTCCCTCCTGAAATCAGCGCTTGCACTGAAGGGGTCCAAGCGGGTATTGGAAGGTTTGGCGAACGTCCTGAGCCGATTTCGGCAGCGGGCCGGGTTCC